CCCCGCATAAATGTGACCCCTCAAAATTTTAATGGTACAACTTACGTCATGAAACCCCATTCTGGGCATCCCTGGTATCTATCAATGACAGTGAAATGTATTAAACCTACTATCCTATTAAAAAAATATATTTTTATCTTTTCAATGTGTAGTTTATTCAGTTTTAAAACCATTAAAAAATTTTATTAATAAGACAGGAGGAGTCTTGAACAAGCAGCCAAAGAACGGTAAAACTAACAGAAGAAATGTTTGCTCTATCTGAATGATCACATTTTAAGTAAGGTTGTAAGGTTGTTAGTGAGAAATGAATGAACTATCAGTATTTCGTATTTAATAATATTTCTTTACTTAAAAAAAAAATACTTTATCAAAATTTATTATTGATTTTTATTTTTTTAAATAAAATTAATTAATTGATTAATTCAATATGAATTCATGAATTAATAAAATTTTTAAAACACTTTGTTGAAAATTTTACAACCCTTCTTACTCCATAAACACAAAAGATACATTTAAACAGAAGTTATGTTAATTTAATGAGTAATAGATGATAAAAGAGAGATGAAAAAGTTTCAAATTACTAAGAATAATTAAACAAAGTATATAATGTTTTTTTTTAACTTATTACATAATTCTATTTCTAAAAGGAATTGTCTGTTATGTCAAATATAATTCTGATACCTATTAGTAGTAAGTGTGGCAGAATATGACATTCGCTTCTTTTTAAAAAAAAAAAAAAAGAGGTGTCTAGTTTTGAGTAAAACTTTGTTTTGTTTTTTTCTATTATAAATCTATGATATAATTAAAATAGATTTAAAAAATAAATACACATAATTGTAAACTTTTTTTCCAAACATTTCATAGTACAACATTTATATGAATATTATAAATCTTACGAAATATTATCCGAAATTCCAGTCTCTCAGTATCATTCTTTGAAAAGATTGAATTCAACTATCATACTGAATATTCATAACTTCATCAAGAGAAATTACTATTAACGAAAAGCACTTGTCAAAGATTTGATTCAGATTACTTTTGTAATATTGTTCTCATTCTAAAAATAAACTTTGACAGACTTAAAATCAGAGATCATGTAATTTGGAAACTGGTTTTAATTAATAATTATTCATAGGACTTTTTTGAATTTTTGAAATTCGTAGGGCTACTAATCATACCAGTAGACCAACCGAACCATCCCTCTTCATCTTGTGCAAAATAGTCTCCTTGCAGAAAAAAATTAATGACCAAGACCTGAACCACCACATGACTAATGAGCATTAATAACCAACCCGTAGCAGAGCCATCCGCTGGATCATCGCCAACCATTTCTTTTATTAATGAGACAAATATTTACTCCACGAAGGGGAGATGGTAGGGCAGATGCATATTTTATGATACCAATAATCATTCCTTCATAAATGTTCATTGTGGCTGGGTATCTTAGACCACATCAAAAGGACCACCGATACAATCGAATCCATTTAGGGCTTGGACCACCCTACTTCTCAAATAGTTCAAGTGTGGTGTAATATTGAATTTTTTTTCAATCATTATCCACGATAAATGACAAACTCACTTTCATGCATCCTTTCTCCTATTGTATAGAGAGCAAGAGGGTCTTACTCCTTAAAAGAATGGGCTAGGTTGGCGCATCTTTCAGCTTCATCTTTCAATTCAAGTCAGATCTTCTACGCAAGCTGTGGCTGGGAATAGCTTAACCTCTAGCAATCATAGCAGCTTGTTGAAGACTAATTCTTAAAGGGCTAAACTAAGAACAAAGCCTTACTGATTCTTTTTATAGTATCTTCTACTTAAAACAAGCTACTTAATTTATTTGTATCTTCAATGTCCGATCCTGGAGATAAGCTTTTTAAAAAGTGACTAGCAAATACTATAGATATAGGAATTGATGGATATTTAAATAAGGATATTGCTCCCTTTCTAGCTCAGTATTTTATAAAGGTTCACTACCAAAACACTAGGTGCAAATTCAAGCAAACCTGCTAAGGACTTCCACAGGGATCACTACACAGTTCACTCCTATTCTATTTCATGATAGGCATTAATAGACATTCTGGAAATATCAGGAAAAAATGTCCTTATATATTCAGATGGTTTAGTTTAGTTATTATAAGGAAAAGCACAACTTCGCAGCTTCATTAATTTGTCTAAACCAAACTCTGAAAAATTTAAAAGACCTAATATATTCTAATTAAATGATTGTAAACAGTGAAAAGAGTAAGCAACATACCTAGGTGTTAAATTTAATCTCAACCAAAATTGTAACAAAAATTTTGTCAAGCAAATAGAGCAAACTTCTATGAGGATAATAAAAATAAGATGGGGTTTATGAAACGAGGATGGGGTTAATAAAAAGATTAGCTTGTGCAAAAAGGAAAAATATATCAGAATATATTGATGTTAATTAAGATTTATGTGCAACCAGCCATGGAATACAGGGCTGAAGCAATATGCTCCTCTTCATACTTCCAGGAGAACAAATCATATTTCGTCCAAAATCAGTGTCTCAGCAGACTAAGAACCAGTAGCCCAAAAATTACACCAATTGCTGCAATGGACCTTCAGACTTGTAGAGAACCTCCCAAAATTTATAGAGAAATCATGACAACATCCCTAATAAAAAAGTTGAAACAAATACACATTAATTATTGGGCTAACCATAAACCACTTTCCCAAAGGTTAAAAAAACACACAAATTTATAGTCACAGCAGATAAAATTATAATAAAAAAAACCAACTTGTAGAATACCATATACTTCCTCTAATCAACCATCATAATTAGGATCACTTTGGAAACCAGAATCTGAAAATTAAACAACTATCAGTGAAAGCTAATACTAACATAAGCATTCAAAAATCCAAAGCATTGGAAACCATCACTAAGCATAATCCCTTTAACAAATAGTACCAGGTTTATACTGATGAATCTGCAATCAGTTCTGTGAGAAATGTGGGAGCTGGAGTATACAGTACAGATTTCCAAGTTTCTACTCCAGTCAGTAGTAGGACCATAAAAAATTGGAAGAATAAATAACACCTTAACTACTCAATTTGAGAATCCTCAGGGATAGGTCTAACGGTAAGATTGTTTTCACTATAGATTCCCAATTGGCCATTATTTTCATTACCAGTTCTGTTTCATTTTTGTGAATTTCAATTTGTTGTAGAATACATGGAAACAAAGATGACTTACTTTCCAAAAGAGGACAATTAATGGATCAGTCCAATACTCATTTAACTTTGCAGAATGCAAAAAGAGTAATAAAAGAAACATACACTGACACATTAGACAAAAATTATGGGAACAAATCAGCAAAGAAACAGTGAAGAAATTTTAAAATATAAGGGACACTTTCCAATGAAAATGTGACACAGCCAGTTCATGGCTAGTTTCAGGATAGCTAACTAACCACGATTACCTCCTTAAGGAACTTTTTCTTATAGGTGTAGTGGAACACATTAAATGTATGATTTGTGCAAACATCTTTTTATCTGCCCTGCATTATAAGATATTTGCGGAATCCACAAAGAAGACAATAATAGTTATGCCAAAAATGAAAAATGGAATGCCAGGAAACAAATGGTCGAAGTGACTAAAGTTACGTAGCAAAGAGCAAAAATAAAATAAAGTGAATAAGAAATGATTTCTGAACTTATTAAGACCAAACTCCTGCTCTGATTTTGACTTGTCAGTAAACATGTGCATTTTCATGATTGTAAATGAACTATTAGAAATAACTTAATGGCATAACCAGTGAAATTTAAAGGTTTAAGTTGGTAAATTTTATACCACATTTTTTAAACATAAATATTTATCTAATATTGAAATTAGGGGGAGAGGAAGGGGGCGGTCAAATTAATACTAAATTAAACAAGTAGAATTATTTAATTTTTGGTGACGTTTCGACCCACAAAAATTACCCCAATGGGTCGAAACGGCAAAAATTAAATAATTCTACTTGATTAATTTAGTATTAATTTGACCGCACCCCCCGATCAACTCCTTCTCATATTTTACAATACGTTTTAACTTATCAAAAATATTACTGAATAAAGTTAATAAAAAAATGTATTTACAAAGCAAAAATTTTATTATTCATATTCACAAAATTCAATCTGTCCCCTTGAGAGAATCAAAACTAATATTAGCTTCCAGCATTATTGTCACAGAAGAAATGAAATTATTAGGATATAAGTCAAGGTAAACAGTGAATATTTTAATAGAGAAATTAAATATATGTACTTCATAAAAAAAATGAGGATAACTAGAAACCCAGAAATAATTAATAATCTAAGAGATTAATTATTTGTACCATATTCTTAGACATTAATTATTTGTACCATATTCATAAAGTTGAACCATTAAGAAATATAAACAGTGCAATTACCAATATAGAAATGCAGATATAACAGGATTCCAAAGAATTATTTGTTTTAAAAAAAACAGTTTGCAATAAACCACATAATTAACAGCAAAAAGAAATAACTGTGAGCAACTCGTTAAATTTCAAAATGTATGCCAAAAAGTCAGCCTTGATTCTTTGATTGTTATTGTTCTGTTATCTCATAAACAAATAAATTCAGTTCAATTTTAATAACAAGAGCAATTTTAATAGTAATTGCTATCAATGTAACAAATCTATTATCAAAATAATAAATAAGTAATTTAAAAATTTAATTTTTTTAATGAACAAAACAAAATTAAATATATTTAAAGGATGGAGTAAAAATAGTCAAGCAAAGTTTGATGCCACAAAATTTAATTCAAAAGACAATATATCTCTATCAGAGAATCAGAAGAAATTTTCAAGATGATTTTAAAATCACCAATAAGCAATTCTTTTAAATAAATTTCTTAATCAAGCAACTGAGCATGAATTCCATGTTATAACTTCTCAATTGGATAAGTAGATCTAACATAATTGTTAAGAGATTTACAACAAAGATTAGAAAGATCATGAACCTATTATTTTTACCTGCAATGTGACCCCAAGGTACTGGAATTTTAATTTCTTCAACAGTCTTTGGATCTATCATTCGTATTTGTGTGGTGTGAAAACATCTTTGAGAAATAAATTTCCTTAAAACAACACTCTTAAGTGAACACATTTTGGCAAGTAAAATTTAAAATCATAAAAATTTTATAAAACTTCCTCTTTCGACAGGTAAGTGCGAAAGATTAACTAAAAAATACTTATCATTCTGAAATTTACCACTTAAAAAAATCCCCTCCTTTCCCGATGATAAACAGTGAGGTAGGAAGGAGGGAGAGTTCAGCTTACATCAGCAAAGGAAAGATATGTTTAATTATGAGAAGTTCATTGTTTATTAGTTATTCTTTAAGCGAACTGGAAAATGTATTTACATAAAGTATTCATTAATATTTTTTATAAATACTTAATTGATTTGTAAAAATTCATGGAGAAAAGCCAGTCTTCATACCTTTCATTTATTTAAATGAACGACGCTTCAGGCTCAACCTGGTCTATTTTAAAGTCCTATGTCATCGAATAGTTAACGGAGTATATTGGTCTGTGAACAAATGAAAATATAGTATGGAAATAAGTAAACTCAATGCATTGTAAGAGGAAGAATTATTTATTTTTTTTATCATTGGTTGATTAAAGCGGTTCGTTCCCAGTCTAGGTGGTGGTTGAGATTGAGTATACAAAAATCCGCACCGCGATTGCTCTTCAGATTCTTGTCCAAGATGTCCTATATTTTACTGCTCTATCATACAATGACAGGCAAAAAATTCCACCCACTTGATTTTTTCATGTTTTCATCTAAAAATATTTCTGCTATGGATTGGTCTGCTATGGTTTTTAATGAATAAATAGGTAATCTTTTTGTTTGTTTTCACTTAGTAATGTTAATATAGAGGACAATAACCCTTAATCCTTAATTCAATGAAATGATTCTTGATTCCAATGTTTACTTTCTATGAAATCAAAATGTTTATTCAGTATCATTATTTCAGTGCCGTTTCTTGCAGCACATTTCTTAGTCTCCGACGTTTAATTTTTTCAATATTAAGTTTAAAAATGCCTCTTAGTGCTGAGGATGTTGCGCATGGTGTGGAACTTATTGATGATGGACGCATATCTTTCGTTTCTTCTTCTCCACACTCATTCACGACCGTCTGTAGTTCGAAGAGCGAATCTTGATTCATCTGTAAGAAGTACAGCACTCCATTCGTCCATAGTCCAACGGCTGTGTTCTAGAGCAAAAGCCAGCCGTGTTACTCTGTGAGTTCTGAAACCGGTCATCCCGCTGTTCTATTACCCTAGGCCGTCCAGAACCGGGCATTCTATTGTAAGAACCAGTTTCCCGAAAACGGCTGACGGCGTCTCGTAAAATTTCATATGGAACTCCGATGGAATTAGCTGCATATCTAATGGAAAGTCCATCATCAATAAGTTCCAAGACACGCACAACATCCTCAGCACTAAGAGGCATTTTTAAACTTAATATTGAAAAAATTAAAAGCCGGAGACTAACAAATGTGCTGCAAGAAACGGCACTGAACTAATAATACTGAATAAACATTTTGATTCCATAGAAAGCAAAAATTGGAATCTAGAATCATTTCATTGATTTAAGGATCAAGGGTTATTGTCCTATATATATTAACAGTCCTATTTGAAAACAAACAAAAAGATTATCTATTTATTCATTAAAAACAATAGACCAATCCATAGCAGAAATATTTTTAGATGAAAACATGAAAAAATCAAGTGGGTGGAATTTTTGGCCTGTCAGTGTATATCAAAATATTGTTAACATACTATACGAGAACACTCCTTTGTAAGGCCGAGCTCCAAGACATGTAAGTGTAATTAAGAATTCTTGTGTAATAATATTAATGTTGTTAAAATAAATATATTTATCAAGTGAATTTGCATTACCTATTCAAGTTATCATAATGAATAGGTGATAATTGATGAACTTGATAGTTATTAGTAATTCAATTAAATTAGTTTCACTTCAATAATAAATTAATTCAATTAAAATACACTCACTTAGTAAATTCATAGCTTCATCTTTGTAAGGTTATTTTAAATTAATTAGCATGTCCGAAGAAGAAATTGATCCACAGATCGCAGCTTCTATACCTACAGAAAGAAAAATCTCTAATTTATGGAAAACTGAGCCAGAGTTGTGGTTTTGTCGCGTAGGAGCCACTTTTTCACGCGCTAAAATTACCAATAGCTTAACCAAACATGAAATTATAATCCTTGTTATTAATCTCGGTGTTCTAAAGCAAGTTACAGATTTAGTGAAAAATCCCAGCTCAACCCCCAATGAGGATATTAAGAAAAAACTTATTAATGCGTATGCGGATTCTAAAGCAAAAGAGTTCAGCGATTACTTGAAGATTCTTCGTTCCATGAAACAGTTGGCTGGTGATGAGATCTCTTGAGAGCAATCTGGATGAGGTAGCTACCAACAAACATGCAGGCGATCCAAGTAGCTATTGGACACACTGAAATCGATAAACTTGCCGAAGCAGCTGATAAAATTCAAGAGGTCAACTCTTCTCATGCAGAAATAAGTGAAGTGGCATCTGACGACAGGACTGCTAGGCTAAGTTGATCAATTAGCTGAGCAAATTGCAGCTTTAATTTCAGATAACACTCACAGAGGTCGATATATTAGTCGAAATTCACGTTCTAGAGGAACAAACGTGTAAAGAAAAGAATCTGAGAAGAAAATTTGGCTCTGCTTTTATCATTTCAAATTAAAAAATAAAGCAAAAAATGTATAGAACCTTTCGCCTGGGATTCTGAGAGCAAACCGCCTTCGAAAAACTAGAAGGCGGAGATGACGTTGTAGGGTTCAGCCAATGCTCAACGCCGCTTGTTCATGAATAATAGAAAGTCCGAACAACATTTTTTGATAGATACGGAGCAGCATTATCGGTAGTACCACCTGGTAAAAAAACGGCTAATACCGAACATAACCACTTTATTCGCCACTAATGGCACAAAAATCAAAGCATATGGTGAAAAGCAACTTAGTTAGATTTCGGTCTCAGGCGGTCCTTCGAATCGAGCTATATTAGAGCCCATGTGCCCAAACCTATTATTGGTGTGGACTTTATATTTCATTTCGATTTGTGAATTTTAAGAGGTAGCGGCTAATCGATAATATTACTAATTTATCATCGAATGGTAGAGTTAGCAATCCCCATCTTCATTATTTATATTGCTTCTTCACTACCGAAGGTAGGTAAGTATTGTATTCGTGAGAGAGGTAAAAAAAAATGTGTGCTCAGAATCGAAAATTTCCAATCGCTTTTTATGTTTCAGACATCAAGGATCAAATTTGATTCGGTGTCTGTCTGTAGTCAAATCGATGTAACGGCCTTATCACATACTACCGTCCATCCAAGTTTCATGAAATGTTCATCAATTGTAAGGGTTGGTGTTTAGATGGTCCCATATCATTTTTATCTAATTCTAACCAGCACTTCTGCTTACGCACGCGAAAACGCATTTTTGTAGATATGCCAATATTTCAGAAATGGCTAGTTCGATTTGGCTCAAAATTGGGTTAAAGGTAGGTATTTCAGAAAAATAATGTAAGGTAAATTTTATCGAATTCTGTCGGTTCCTTTCTCTTATATATATGCGCAAAGGTGTTTTCCTTGATACGTCTATATCTCTTTTTCCCACAAGTTAAATTTGGCTCAAATTTTAAAGAAATTTAGGGATTGGTAAACGTAAAATGAAATAAGCATCAATTTTATCAAATTCTATCTACAACTCAAACAAAAAAAAAAAAAAAACTTCCGCTTTTAGATCATAAAATGTGTTATTTGATATGCCTATAGTTTGGAAACCGCGCATTCAATTTGACCCAAACTTGGAGGAAATTTATAGAAATTCCTTAGCATCATTTTCATTGAATTCTATTTAACAATTAAAATTAATATAAATAATTGTTAACAATATAATGGCTGCGAAATGTTTATGTTGTGGTTGTGGGAGTTAGTTAGGTTATTACAATACTGTTATGGGGTAATAAAATTTTAGATTTTATTCAGAAAATTAATTGATACTGTATTATTTGGTCGATAACAAACGTTACTGGCATGATATTTACTGCCGTTACTTAGATTCCGTGTAATTTTCAATACATTTAAGGTAATTTATACTCTGAGTAATTAAACGACCAATAATATCTTAAGACATAATTTTTTAATATTTTTTACTATAAAACATGGTTACGTTTTACCATTTTTGGGGAGGGGGGGCTTCAGCCCGAAAGTCCCCCTCCCGTAAATCCGCCTGTGACTTCACCCATATTTTTATATTTTCTAGCTTAAAGTCAAAACAAAACGACTGAAGGAAAATATTAGTCACGTTAACTCCGAACAAACAACAAGTTGAATTTTTTCTATGGATTTTCTAGTACCATCCATTTTACGAGTGAAAACATACTTATTAAGTATATATCACTACTATTAGTGCAAAAGATCTATATATGTAATTACAATTTACATATATAGTATACATGATAATACAATATATACATGTAACCAATCCCTTCCACTGCCCAAGGGCATTTTAAGGATTGGGGATATCTAAGGGTTACATATGTGGCAGAAGCCAATTCAGAGTAAATAATATAAATTTACTTAATGCGAAAGAACAGTATGCCATTGCTAAAAACCATTGAAGAGGAACTTTGTCTTGTTTACTGTGAATCAATTGTTAATTAATTGAATTAAGGGTTTTTACTTTCACTTACCTACATATGGAATATATAGTAAGGGAAAGTATTGCAATCGTGAAAATTTTCGAGGTCGAGTTTTCAACGAAAATACATGTTTTGAAGTTACTTGAGTCCAAATAACTAAGTCCCGCGAAAAGGTCTGTGCGTGCGTGTGTGTGTGTGTGTGTGTGTGTGTGTGTGTGTGTGTGTGTGTGTGTGTGTGTGTGTGTGAACAGTCTTTCCTTAAAATTGACTCACCGGAAGTGCCACTTTATAACAACGGTGAAACACATTTTTCTCAAAAATGGCTCCAATAATTATGATTAAACTTAATTATCATTGTATAATTAATTTAATATCATTGAGATCTCATCCCCATTGATGTAATT